GTATCTTTAACGAAATAAATCGAGGACGACCAGTATGTATATCTGGATGCACAAATGAGCTGATAGCGCATGCGCAGAACGGATCATGCTTCCGGGATGGATCAGGTAGTGACAGCCCGGACCAGGAGGGGTGGCCAAGATGGCTAATCAAACAATATAAAGAACAGTGTCAAAAACTGGGCATCGAGGTGAAACAACTCAGAGAAGAGAACGCAGAAATTGGAAGAAGAAATTGGAAAAAAGAGCTGCAGAGAGGGAGCGCTATAAAAGAAAATGCAACCTGTGAGTTATTGGCTTACAGGAAGAAAAAGATGAAAAAAGGAGACAAGTCATCTCTGATATCATCGAAAAGATTGCGCTGCACTGGAGGGAGAAGATGGATTTCATCCTGGATTCTGTGTACCGACTGGGACTAAACAACACCAACCGCCCTCGTCAAGTAATCCTGCAGTTCACAGGACGCCACTTCAGGGACGAGCTCTGGAGGATCACCAAACTTCACCCTGTCTGCAAGAGCTGAACGTCACCTTGGCAGAAGATTTAACCAAGGAAGACAGGGAGGCACAGAGGGCTGTGTGGCCCAAAGTGAAACAAGCAGGGAAAGCAGGACTAAAGACAGTGTTCCGGGGCCCCCATGCCTTCATTAATGGACAAAGACTCTCCCCATAGACACAACTGTCCAGGGGGTTTGAATCCAAAAAATGAGTGAGTTTGAGTGAAAAAGTATTTTTAAGGTTTGATACTATTATATTTTCCTAAAAGGGAACCATTACTGTTCTAAGCTCAGGGATCCAGTGTTGTTGATTGTTAATTTGTTTTTGCCCTATCTTCAGTTTAAAGAGCAATATTCTTTTAATATCTGTTAATGCAAGGGGTCTACACCTTGTGCACCTTGTCCACAAGGTGTAGATGTACATCTACACCTTGTGGACAAAGGACCTTCTTTTGAGGACCAGAATGTTCACATTTTGGATAAAGAAAATAGGTGGTTTGAGATGGGCGTGAAGGAAGCCATCTATGTTAAGAGAGAAGAACCAACCTTAAACAGAGGGGGTGGACTCAGATTCCAGCTTCCAAAAACATACAATTCAATCATAGACATGATCCCTTCCAGATATCACCAAAACCCCCACCCCATCACAGAGGAACAAAGTACCTCCTCTCTTCAGCTGGTGAATAATACGTCCTTAACGACCGATCCTTCACAATCATAGACAAGTTTCAGGTATACAGGAGACAATCCCTCCTTTAATTACAATCCCCACCTTTAACGACCAACCTTTCAGAATCATAGACAGGTTTAAACAACCTGCTCGTCAGTTTTAATTTGCATGTTTCCAAGCAATACAAGGCCGTGCGACCCGTGCCTATATAAAGCCTCAAACTCAATGCGAATCCAGACATTTTGAATTGAGAAAGCTTCCTGGATGGGAAGCGAAACGTCTTCAAACCTCGGAAACCAAGTCCAGTGGATTGTTGTTTTTTTTACTTTTATGGAATAACTAACAAATTCATACCAAAAAGTGGGAATTTTTAAAATATAAAATACACCTATTTACCATTTCATTCCACAAAATTATTTAAAAAAAGATAGAGAACAACAAGAAGTAGACATTATTAATCAGTTAAATATTTACTGCAACAGGCCAAACCCAACTGAAGACGATTCTAAACCTCCAACCTAAACTAGATGAAGTTTACAACAGTAAGGCCCAAGGGGCCTTCATCAGATCCAGAGCTAAGAGGATAGAGGAGGGAGAAAAAAATTCTGCGCATTTCTGTCGTCTTGAGAAACGGAG